GAAAAAAGAAAGGGATGGTTAGTGAACACCAGCTTTTAGGATACAGTTGATCCTCTCTCTGTGAATTATTTAAATATTCACTGAGACAGAGAGTATAGCATATGACTTTCTGGACAGCAGAATACTCTAGTTCCTGCTCTCATGAACATTAAATCATTTATACAAGGTGGAACAGTGTCAACAGAAAGAACACAACTCACATCATAATACCCGAGAGCACTGATGCAAGTTAAACCCCACCCCTCCCTGAGGGTTGCTTGGATCCCCACCCCCAAGAGGCATCCCTGATGAGAGCCTGTAACCTTGGGCCCCAGAATGGAGGTGGGGGTCTTGAGCCTTCGACTGTAGCTGTGCAGAGTAGACTGGGAGAGAGGGCACTATTGCAAGAGGAGGCATCACTGCCAAGAACCAGAGTAATCCTTCTCTGGCTCTGCAACTGCTGCAGTTTTATATAACGTGTGAGGATCCAACACCTTTGGTTTGGTGGCAACTGGAGGGCCAGGGGAGGGTTACCCTGGCTCTTGGCAGTGACACCTGACACCTCTTACAGCAGCATCCTGTCCACTTGCACTTGACAGAGCACTCTGCTCCCTGATGGCTCCTTTACTGAGTGCCCAGGGCTTGTGTGCCACACACTGCAGCTGCCTATACCAATTGTGGCATGTGTGCTGGCCACCCCTTCCCTGCAGGATACTTCACAGTGAAGTGATTGCATTATTGGGTTTTATTAGCAGCTAAGGGCAGCTGCTAGGACATGGGATGTAATGGGATCAAATTCCCTCTGGTACAGCAGGGAACTGAAAGCTTGAGGCTCTCACATCTTGGGCAAGTGCTCTGACCCCTGAGCTATTGAGCGGAGCTGAAATGATTACACCATTACTCCCTTTGGCAGCTTTGTGAATCTTTGGGGTGTTTTTTTCCCTTTGCTTTTCTTATAACTGCCTGAAAAAGAAACAATCAATGTCAAACAAAATTAAAGCTTTACATTTTTTGTTTAATTGAAAAAACACAAAATCACTGTTAAATTTAATTCAGTGCAAACCTGATTTTTTCTTGGCAGTCAAACAAAAGTAAAAACTTCCCAATTAATCCCCAAGGGATAACTGTAATGCTGATTTCATATTTCTTTTTTAATGGCACCAATTCAATACTATCCCACATTGCATTGTAAACCTAATTACATATTTTGGTATATTTTAGTGTCTGCCTACAAAATGTTTAAGGGTTATTATGCCTTAAGGGACGAGAAGGAAGAAATGTGTATTTTTATAATACACAATGGCATTTTAATGCACAACAGATATTGAAATAAAAAATCATAAAAGTATTTGTGGCATTCCTGTAACGGCAGGAGTAATTACTGGAAGTTAGGCATTTTCAGAGAAACCAAACATAATGTATTTTTAAAGGAAAAACAATATAAAACAGGTGATAATTTAGATGTGTTCCTTAAAGTTTTTAAAGGTCTGCTTACTTTGGACACCTCGCATAAGCCATTTGAAACTACAGGACTAGAGTAATCTGAAAATTTAAATCCCATCAAAGTTCTCTATTTCCAATTCTACCCACATTTTTTGTCAAGCTGTGATGCACGTGCGCAGAATTATATTGTGACTGTAAAAACGTAGAATCTTGTCAGATCTTTAAAATATACAGCCCACAATGGAAGTAACTGGGCCTGACTCATGATTCCTTACAAAATACAAAACTCCAAGAACATTAGTGGGATTTTCCTCAGATAAAGTAACAGGTGCAATCTCAGGCTCAGTGGGCGCATCTTTACAAGGTGCTATGTCATTGTAGCAATGAGCTATGTCGATGTAGCTCGTCTCTACAGCAATGTAGTGTTGGCAGGCACAAAGCGTGATGCTGATGTTACGGTGACATAGCGTCTAGAAATAACTATGTGCTGCTAAAGCAAATTGAATTGTATTAGTACATGTTTAGGATTGTGAATCCAAAAAAAGGTGACAAAGCCGGTAGGGAACTACAAATTCCCCGAGTGAGGGACTAACATTAGAGGGACAGGGGTGAGGAGGAGAACACAACTAGGTTACAGAAAATTATATTACACTTGATCTGAGCCTTCAAGAAGCCTGCACAGTACCAATGTGCAGTCAGGGGCATGTACAGTCACGCCCACTATGAATAACATTACAAAGATATTAAAAAGTTCTGCTGAGGACATCACAAAACAACTGTACTTCATTGAACTGCTGACTGTCCTGCTTTAACCAACTTTTCTGTACTCAGATGTCTAACTCCTGAGGCAAAGAATCCAGAACACTCTTCCCATGGAATAATTTACTCCTGTTTTTACTTCTTAGTAAGGAGAAGATGCACTATCAGATTTACCAAACTGGCTGCCTACAGTAGGCATGATTAGAACACATAGCCACCAGTTAACAAATGATTTATGCATTATATTTATATCCCACCTAGCAGGTCTATAAATAGGTTGTTAAAATATAGTCAAACCACCCCCTGAAATATTGGTATGTTTTAAAACAGGGCTGTTCATATAGTGGCCTGTGGGCAGCTAGCATATGGCCAGGGGCTACTTCAGTTACTTTTCTCACTGCCCATGATGAGGGAAGGCCTGGGAGGGGGGTGTGCAGTGGAGGGGCAGGGGGACCACATGATGTTGGTACTACCCTCATGGCCTTTGGGTATGGGAGGGAGGGAGGGTCACTGCCACCATTACTCATGTCTGAGGGCGGTGTCACAGGAGTGATCCTGGAAGCCCACCCCCACAGCATATGGCTTGCATGATCACTGGACAGCCCTGCTCTAAAAAATGGATTTTAACATAATTGTAATTTATCTTTCCCTTCTCATCATTTATGAAACTGTAGGGCTCACAGTAGTGGAAACAGTAGCTTTTAACCTCCAGGTTATTAGCCAAAATCTGAGTCACTAGTCTGACCACTGAAGTTATGATCAGGCTCTTACTATTTGAAAGCCGTTGGTGGTCTCAGTTCATTGACAATTCCATTTCCACAGAAGCATTTAAAAGATTATTTTTGCTCTGATGTAGAATGAATACAAATTCTGAAATCTTGGAAGCAGCAGTGGAATAGAAGTGGTCTCCACACACAGCTTCTATTCTAACATCTGTCAGTTTAAACAAAACCTTAAGCATTTTTAAGTTAATCACTGTGACTTAATCATGGAAAATAAAAATAAAAGTCCTGACTTGAGTATTCAATATTTTGTTTAGACATTCAGTCTAAAGCAGCTGTAGCCAAACAATTATTGGAGGTCCATTGAAATCTTTATGGCAGGCCAAATAAAATAACTCCAGTTGTTTTCAGATTAAACTGCTAGATCAAGCAAGTAAAATCTGTATTATATGGAAAACTAGACTGGTGCTCAACCTACGTCCAGTGTACAGCTTGACACAGATAAGGACATAGACTTAATGTCACTTTACCTGCAAACCTTACTATGATTTCAAATGAAGGGCATAATTACTAAACCCAATGCAGAACATTTGTTTCTTAAATGGACCATTAAGATTAGCAGTCAGTAGAGCTTGTGACCAGAAAGCTTTACAACAGAATACAAGCATAAGCTACTGAGCGAGGTAACTTTTTAGAATACAGAAAAAGACTAAAGGCCATGCTTTTTATTGCCATAATTCTCCAAAACTAACTTTTTTCTTTGCTTATATACAGGAGATGGTTATAATTCTTCATCTGTGAAGAACAGGTAATCTTGTTTTGAAGTTTAGTTAAGGCTGCTACAAGCAAGCAAGAAAATAAGTAAGGCAAAGTTATATCTTGCTCATAGCTAAGCAATATTTTTCTGAATTCTTACATGACTGCATAAAAAGGAACAAAAATATAGCCTGTGCATAGCTAAAGTTCCTAGTTTTTTCACAGTCCCAAGGTGCTCAGAAGTAATCATGGAATAAAACTGTTAAAATGGGCAGTAATGTTAAGTTCTTCTTTTGACCTCCTTACGGAAACCTATAAAAATATCTGTTGAATAGACATTTTGCTCATCCTTTTTTATGTAGCATTTAAACCCAACCCCGATGCCTCCTATGGTGTCCAGGAACCTGCTTTTACCTTCACTGCTAATATCTTTGCTGCAGAGGAGGTGGGGAAATGTGAATGCGGAGAAGCAGGCTGTAGAACGGAGCACTGTGGAGCAGATGGGCAGCATGGCACAGCTGGACTGGACCTTCATGGGCCAGACCTGGATCATGGGTTGCAGACGGCTGACTCCTGTTCTACAGAGCACCTGATTAGTCTTGCTATCTTTCACATCAACTATCCTCTTTCCTGTAGTGCAGTAGCTATATCAGCATATTCTGTTGCTAACGAATGTACCAGATATAAATTTCTGAGAATTTCCTATAACTGCAAAGATCACTTTTCAACTGCTCCTTTATACACTGCCAGTGTATCTGGGAGCATTTGTGATGCTCCTTACTTGAACAGGTTTCCATTTGCCACTTTGAATTCAATGTCTAAAAAGAAGTTTCTTCCAGTAGCCCAATCTTCTAATGGGAGAGATTGATGCATGTTGTTAAAACAAAAGTCTTACAGGGAAATCACTATTCTCTCAGTGACTAGTGGTACTTGGACAGAAATTTCTGCTGGTAGCTGAGCTTCAGTAATCAGCAATTGACAGAGGACAATACATATAATATGCTTTCTTTTAAAGCTTTCAAAAGCCAGGATTTGTTCTCTGTAAAGCATCAGAGTAGTCTCCTTTGATCTGAAGGATTTAGAAATGTATATGAGAATTTCAAGCCTAGTAATTTGCCACTTTTTCTTCATACAGCATCCATAATTCCTATCTGAGTGTGTAAATTGTGACTGTCCACCATCAAATGTATTAGCCTTGTAAGAGCTTCTGGTTTTCAACCTGCTGTGTTATTTCTTGTGTTCTGTTCTTGGAGCAAGGAAACTGTAGACGGAATGCAGGAGAATTTTCTTACTGATATTTACAAAACCTAGAAAATGAAATTACATACAACAGAAACTTACCTTTGTGTAATCAACAAGATTTTGATATTCGATATAATTGCCTCCTCCCACTACAAACACGATTGCCTAAAACACAATAAAAAGGAGATAGTTAATATGCTGCAGGAATTGGGAAGTACAGTCTCGGTATTAAAATAGAAATGAGTGTGATTAAACATCAGTACTGCTTTAGTCTTTCACTTAAGTTTAAAAGCAAACTAAGCAACAAATAATGCACAACACTTGAAAAAAAAAATCAGATGACCTCTACCCCGGGGGCAGGCAATTATTTCAGGCAGAGGGTCACTTACCGAGTTTTTGCAAGCTGTCAAGGACTGCATGGGTAGCCCCACCCCTTAACAAGTGCCCTGCCCTCTGGTTACCATCTTGAGACCAGAAGTCCCACCCCCTAATCCCTGACTTTTGTCACTAGAAGTTCCTCTCCTTGCCCCCAGAAATACTCCTTTCAGCAAGGGGTTTTGCCATCTTCTAAAAATCAAACATTTACAACATTCATTAATTTGATTTCAAAAAATATTTTTGTCTTGATTTACATGCATTTGTGTAGTGCACATAGAGGTGATTGCACAATAGCTTAAAATGAAGTCCTACTCTTCTATATTGTGGAGGGGTGGGAGTCTGTGGGTGTATGTGTGTGGATATGTGGGGTGTGGGTGATTATGGGGTTTGTGGGGGATTGTGTGGGTGTAGGGTTCTAGGGTGTGTGACGGGTGTGGGTGTGGTGGTCTGCATGTATGGCACTGTGAGGGGGGTCTGGGTATATGTGTATGGTGGGGGGTGTGTGTGGAACTTAGCCTATGAACACACAAACACACACATATATACTCCCTCACTGCATGCACACACCCACACACATGCACACACTCTGTGCCTTGCTCACTTCACACACTCTCTTCCTCTCTCATTGTTCTCTCTGTCCCCCTCCCTCCTTACACAGACACAGACACAGACACAGACACAGACACAGACACAGACACAGACACGACACGACACAGACTCTCCCTCCCTCATTGCACAGAAACACACAAACGCACTCTTCTGCTCCTGGCCCTGGGGTACTGGCACGGGCTCCGTGGTCCCATGGTCCGGTGATACAGCTGGGGGCCACATGGTGCTGGAGCCTCCAGCTGGTGTGCAGGGAAGCAGTGAAAGCGGCAGCAGGCAGAGGCTTCCGGTTGGGGGAGGGTGGGGGTGGAGTGGAGTTGTAGCTGGGTCCTGCCGGCTTCCCCTGGGTCCTACTGCCCCTGGCTCCTGTCATCTTTGACAGGCACCCAGGAACAGATAAATATTAATTTTCTAAATTTTTTCTGTGGGCCATATTTTGTCCACTCCAGCTCTACACATTACAGGTATCATGCAATTAACTGGTTAATTGCACAATTACCTTAAGGTCAACTACATGTGCAAAGTAGCTATCATGTGAGAAAAAGCTATGAAGTTAGACCCTGAAAATGTGCACAAACTTTATACCTAGTTGCTATCAAGCTTTAATTTGCACGTGTAGCAGCATCTCCCCTGTGGCTAGGATGCACAATGTAGGGACTTCCAGCCCCGGCAGTTGGTGACTCCGAGTCTCAACAGCACAGGGAGCCGAAGTCCTGCAGCTGTGGGTGCTGGGACCCAGAGAGGTCTTGGCAGCTGGGGGGGTGCAGCTGACCTGGGATGTGTAAAACCCCTGGGCCCGAGGGATCGTGGTAGCTGAGCTCCCCCCAGGCATTATTTCATGCACCTCCAGAGCAGCTGCACCCCCTGGCTGCTGGGACCCAGCTGGATCCTGGCACCCAGCATCTGCACCCTCCCAGCCTGGGAGATCAATGGAGGGGGTTCCCAGCTGTATGAGCTTGCTTCTTGCTGGTGCAGGGAGAGCCCGGGATTGAGCTCTCCCTGCACTGGCAATAAGGTGCAATGGGATCTAACGCACAGTCCCACAATTAAGCTTCCTGCCATGCACATGTGTATTGTGCATTAGATCTCATCACACCTTTATCTGATCACGTAGAGGGGTCCTCAGAAACCTAACTTCCTGTAAAAGATCTAAACTAATAATGTTACTTTCCATACCACAGTTGCTTCCATCTAGGAGACAGTAAACCACTGACTTCATACACAAAATTATTTTAATATTGTAATTCAAGCTGTAAAATATTCCTGTTCTAATATATTTTTCAGAAAGCTTTCACACAAGAAAATGGCATAAATACAGTTTAACATATGTTACTGATCTTTACTTAGATAAGCCTCCACATGGTCCAAAAATTTGTTACAAATATCTTCACGACCGTTTATGAATTAATTTGATAAAGACTTAGTTTTCCAACACTGCTATTGCTGTGGAGGACATTTTGTTATATTCCATTTATTTTAGTCTTTTTCAGCAACTTACGTTTAACTAACAATTACCTTAGCAGACCATCATTTTCTGGGTTATGTTGAAGACAACTAAATGGCTGAATAAACAATTTAGCCTTTTTAAAATATGTAATTGTGACAGGACGGGAACCTCGGGGTTGCTGTGCTCCCCCTTTTGTTACCCTCTCTACCGTGCCAAACTGCCTATCTGCACCTCGCAATCTCGCCCGCCACGTCTTTGGTCTTATGTGTATAATAGGGAGGCTACCTTTAGTTTTCTTGGCTACGGTTCTCCTGTGCTATACCGGTCCGTCTTCTGGAATGGGGCTCAGGTGCACCCCAGCCTTATGGGCTCCAACCACCCCTGTACCATGCCCCAAGCCTCGCGGATGTACTGGATGTTCTTCAGTCTTACTGGATGCCTTCTCGCTGCCTGATCTCTCTCTCTGGGGCGTCTCACACTGCCCACTCTCTGGGGCTGGGGCTCCCACACTGACGTGGTTCCCCTATGAGGCCCCCTCCATCCCCTTATAGCCTCACCCAGTCCTCCAGTTGACAACAGCAAACAATAACACAAGCCCCTGGGCTATAACACAAAGGTAAACCGCTAGGCTAACCTCCTTTGAGTCACACTCCGCGGGTGCTCCATCCTTCACCAGCATAACAGACTGCTCACATTCAGGCCTTTCCCCTTTGCTTAGTTAGGCCGCACTTCTTCTCCTTGGCCGCCAGCCAAGACCCCCCCCTCTCGGCCTCTAGCCTGTGCTTTATAGGAGTCAGCCCTGCCCCTTCCGGACAGCTGACTCAACAGGTGTGGGCCCCTAGCTCCTCCTGGTTGCCCTGGCAACCGGCACCTGGTGGCCATTCCTGCTCTTCAAGTAGCAGGCACCGTAGTGCCCTGTTACAATGATCTACCAGTGAACTGACTTACCTTTATTTGCATGCCTTCCCCATTTAATGAAAATTACCCATCCAAAATGTGCACAACTTAACTGAGGAATAGAGGCATGGGAGCACTGAAATGGCTGCTGGGGGCTGTGGTCAGTTGTGCTTTACATGGAGTTCAGGGTGGAGGAGGGGAAGAGGAGGGAGGAAGTTTAGCCAGGTATCACTCCTCCCCCTGCAACTAGAGGTTTAACTCTCTAACAGCTGCTGCCAAATTGGCAGTAGCTTTTAGCAGTGGCTGAGAAAGGATTAGACCTCTAGCTGCAGGAGCAATGATGCTAATATTTGGACTTTGCCCCTGCTCCACGTAGCCAGTGTTCAGCCATGGTGAGCTTGTGAGGCTGTGGCAAGAAACATTTTGAAACAAAACTTTTTTTCTTATTCTCCCCTAAAAGAACAAGGAGTATGTGGTATGTGAATAAATATGGTAAATATATTTTAACTTGTTGATTACCAGTAACATATCCACTGTGTGTGGTTGGTCAAAAAAGACAAATGGTAACTTCTTTGCTCTCCAAATGTATGGAAAATCAGAAAAGAAGGAAAACAAATTCAAATATGGCTATGCAAAGACTTCTATTCGTCAATATGTTTAGATGAATGGTCATGAGATATTTGCTTTTAGAAATAATTCTATTTTCACGAAAAATAAACACTACCAAAAATATTTGTGGAAAATAGCAGCAGAAAAAAAATAAAGCTGTAGCTTTTATTGATACTGATATTGACAGCAGTATTGTTTATAGCAGTATTTAGGCAGCTCTGTTTAAGAGTGTATGAAGAACTAAATTTAGAGAGGTAGGGTATTCTAGAAGACTACGTGTGGGCTTGGAAGTTACAGATGCTCAGTACTAACTATGGCTCATCCATTAAACCACTACAATTACTTGCAGGAACATTGTTAAGGATTAGGTTAATGCTTATACAATTCTTTGAGGATGAAGAGTTCTTCCGAGTATGTGCTATGTATAATTAATTAATGAATATAATTAAACAAACTGATTTTTTACAAATGTAACCTCTTTTTTTAAATGTCCAATACCTTAGAAAGTATTTGGGGTGGCAGGGGATAAGGATGGAATTGAGTTCTACATGACTTACCTCCTGGAATGGACTTTTGTTTCTTGGAACCGAGCTGTAATAGAAATAATCCATATTATTATAGGAATTCACTGTTAATGCAAATATTAAAATAATAAAAGCAATCCTAAATAGGACACGTTTTAACATTTGGTGGTATGATTTTTTTTTTTAACACAAAGTTCTAAAAAGTAACTTTTATTATTTCTCCAAAATAACATGTTGTAGGAACTCCCTTCATTCTCAGTGAGAAGTGGTGTACAGGATCTATTTCTTTAATTTGGAATAAATCGATTCATTCTTTTTCTAGTTCTCTTCTATGAATATGTGAATTAACGAGAGCTCCATGGTGCATCTGTGGAATGTATAAACTTCTAAGTTTCTGGACTGTGTAAAGTGTGGTGCAGCTAGTATAACTAACATTCTGAGATATAAAGCACTAGAATTCATTGAAATCAGTCAAGCATTGTAATTAAATGCGCAGTTCATGACACTTTCAAGCTTTCCTGAGAGAGGGTACAACCATCAATAAACATTTGAAATAGCTTGCAAAATCTACCAAGAATCACATAAAAAATTACAGCAGGCTGTCATGGCAAGCTCCCATTCCTGGCCCCAGCTGATTCTCTACATATGATAAAGCAAAAACACAGCAAAAACAAAACGCTTGTGACCCGCTTTCCAAGTGGATCAGGTTTCTAATGCATAGTAGAAAGGATAATAGGGAAGGTATACTCAGCTTCCTAGTCTATAAAGGAAGATTTAAGGAACAGATTGGGCAATAGAATTAGGCAGAAGGCAGGACACACTGGCACCTTAGAGATCAACTGGCTCAGAAAGGCATAAATTTTTGTAGGCGACAACCTACTTTGTCAGATGAATAGACTATTACCTAACAGTCACCTATGAAAGCTTTTGCCTGTCTGAACCAGTTACTCTAAAAGTGCCACCCTGTCCTGACTTCAGCTTAACATGGGCATTCTCTGCAGTAAAATTATGAAAGGGACTTTTCAATTATATATGGAGAATAAAATGCCTGAACTATGGGATAACTGAAACTTTTGAAGTGAAGTCTAGATGTTGGGATCTCTGAGCTATAATGGACAGAAGAATGTGGTTGTGTTAGCTGGTTGTATCTGTCAGGTTGTGATTTATGAAGATTTACGGTATGCACTGAAATAGACTGACATAACGTAAGCATAAACAGGTTGTTCCAGACAGACATGCATGAGAATGAATTAAATATGGGGATGGATTTTCATGCCCAATTTTTTTTTAAATGGCCTCTACAGTAAACACTATTACCAGGATTCAAGGATTAAAGCACTTCAGCCTAACCCAAGGATTAACTCCCCCACTCTCAGAAACCTCTTGCTCTCTCTACAGGAGCAGGAATGAAGCTACTCTGCACTCTGAAGCTTATAGTCTTTCATTCTTCTGATAGAACCAATTATGCCCTGAATCTCTTTCTTGTGTTTGTGTGAGCTGGCTCTGCTAAACCTCTCACCCACCTTGGACACTAGCAAACTGCAACAAAATAATGTATTTCATTTATAAACACATAGTGACCGTGCTTACTTTTTTGTTACTTTACAATGGTACCTTGAAATGGAGCCCCTTCAAGATGCTTCAAAGCAGAGCAGAACCACTAAATACTTTAGCCTTTTCTTGTGGGAAAAATTAATTCCCGACCCCCCAGACTGAGTTTGATCTGATCAAACACTGAATCGTGAAAATCAGTCCAAACTATGTCTCTATTACAAGCCAAGAACTGTGGAAACTCCAGGTGGCTGCTGAAAGCCTTGACTGCTTTAAATAATGTGAGGAAGTGGAAATAGAGCATAGTGGGACTGAAGAACCTAGTCAACAGGGAAAGGGGAGAACTTGAGAACTCTTCTCCTCACTTGAGAGGGGAAGGGGGAGGTAAGCAAAAGCTCTGAAGTAATCAAGTCTGCCATCTTGTCCCAACTCCTCTCATGCCCCCCAGTGTTTTCTGGTCTTGACTGATCTCATAAAAATCTTCCTTTGCTGGTCCAATGAAACAGCATTAGGACAGGGGGCAGCAAATACTAGCTAAACAAATTTCTTCCGGCTTGCATTTTTGTTTTTAAATATTACCAGCTATTCCTTCCATAGCTCTCAAAACTGTCAGGCTACTGTTCAGATAATACTGCAGTGCTTCACAGAAACTAGTTTTCTTATACACTGGAATCAACCTTTAAATAGGAGGATTTGGATTATGGCATGAATGCAGTACTGTCAGCATAATTTTTCCTTTACGTATATTCATAAACATTTAAATTCATCCTTTTGGAATACAAATTTGCAAATACTGACAGAAATGTAAATGTGGACTAGAAAAATGTATGTCTGTTGAGACTGGCTTCTTTCTTTTCAAAAGAACACAACTGGCAGAAACGCCAATATTCCTTACAGTAAAAGGGTATGTAGGAATGAAATCATTCCTGTGCATTAAGGAAAGAAATAAATTAATAACGGTCTTTCAGTGATTATACTATTGAACATCATTATTTTTCACTTGAATTTTTGGTAGCTAGCTGAAATAGTCTCTTGGATTACCACTGAAAGTATATCGTTTGTTCTGTGTAGTCCTGTCCAGAAGGTAAGAACTACAAACAAAAGCCCCTCTACCCACAATGATTCAGTTGTCATCCTTAACAGGCTTAATTTAAAATTAAATGCAACCTTCAGCATAGATATTCCATAGACTATTTGCATAAAGCCATAAAGTCAGCAATCGACAAATCAGTTAGAACTTCTGGTCATGTGCATAAAACAGATACACAACTGTGCATCTTGTATACATATGAAAAAAATGACAGTGCATTAAAACTCATGTCTGCACATTGTAATTGCATTGAATGCACAAAGAACTGTCGTAAGTTTGAGTGGAAACAGGCATGATAGAACTTTATGGCAGTTCTTTAAAAGATGATCAGGAAAATTCCTGGAGGCAATACTCAGTATTAATTTATTTTGCTTGAGAAAATTACCATCTAAACCCTTTCCCTCAGCTGCATGTTTCTTATTTCACCATCTTTAACAGCTTATTCCCATCATTAATGGTTAAAGAGTCTTATGTGGTAAGGCACAACTCAAAAATAAATCAATAATGACCTTTCAGCAATAATATTACTAATAACCAATATTTCAGACTGTTCAGTCTATTAGTTCTATAGAAATATATAGCTCAAATAAAAACAGAATATTAAAATGTATTGTGCAATATTACAGATTTCTACTGGGTAAGGTATATTTGTAAAAGTTTTCTTTAAAAACAATATCACAGTAGCTGCACAGGATGGGTGACATGCTTGTGAATTATTGCAGGTTTCTGAAGTAAAGGTCTGTATATTATTTGCAACAGAGATAAATTATTTTATGCATGAAACATTTCCATGAAAAAACCACAACAATCAGCTTTATTTGTAAATGCGCTAAAACAGACGTTTAGATGACACTGGAATAAAGCAAGCTGAAAGCTCCAGTTGTATTTCTAAAAAGTAATGTATTTGGTAAAGCCAATTTTTACTTTGACAGCTTTCTATACTTATTTTTAATTCTTAAAGTTATATCTGAAAATATTTGTGCAATGTACGATACATATTTTCTGCAAAGCATTTTTCATTATTGCAGATACACTGTCAAGAACGAAACACTGTGAAGGAGACAGCTGAAATTCTTATTTAATCATAAGCCAAGGACAGCACTGGTTCTGCATCCTCCCTCCACATAAGCCCAATAATAAAACCAAAGAATTAAAAGATCTTGCTGCTCTCCTGTGACTGGACCTTATTTTCAAAAGAGCTCAACTAAAACCGAAGATAGTCTCCATTTCTAGAGAATTAGAGTAGAGATTTTCAGTAGTGGTTTTGTTCACAAAAATCAGTCAGGAAACAGTTTGACATTTTTGGTGTCAGTTGTCTTATTTCTCTCCTTTTTCTTTTTTTAAAATGATGAGACAAAATTCTCTGTTACAGCAAATTAATGAGAAATCTATGCATTTTACCAGAAACACAAAAGTTTCATGTTCCTTTTAAAAGAACTACTGCACCATACATTAAAACAATCTTATTTCATGTTAAATACGAATGTTCGAATGGGAGTATTTTAATTCTGTGAGAATTAATAGGAAACTTTAAGTACAGTGCCAATGACTTTCCATTCAAAACAAAAACATCAGTGGAAAAATTCAAACAAAGTAATTAGTATCTTTGCAAATAGTTGTAAAACTCAAAAGTAAAAAAAATACATTAGAAGGGACCCTGCTGCTAGAAGGGACCCTGTATTAGAACTTCTTATGACAGCTGTAGTGGCATTGAAATGAGAGCCTAAGTACAGCATTACAGGAACTTCTATGGCTGATCCACAGCTTTTAGTTCCTCTGTCATCATGTGCTTTGACTTAGAGGCTGTGCCTAATTATTTTATGCAATCAATAAGGAGAGAAAAATGAATTTACAAACCTAAAAGCACAAATCACATAGTATAATAGTAGTGAAAGTAGTCAGAAAATAATTTAAAAATAGATATGTTGCTTAAAAAAGATAGCATATTTGCAATATTTATGTAAGTACACTGAAACATGAACAACAGCTAAAAAGCATACTTTCTATAAAATGATGGACATAATCCTGATATGTTATGCTTTGAAATGGGTACTTATATATACTGCTCCAAACTATGAAAGATAGGAAGAAACATAAACCGTATACTCACCTGTCACTTCCTCGCAGCATCTTGGGATCAAAATATCTGTAGTCATCTGTTTCCTATTAAAAAGAAGGATGTTAAAAAAAGATGTCTCAAAAACAGAGTAATATGCAAAAAGAAAAGTATACAAGTATACTTGTACACTGTCCAAGTTCTGGTTAAATCTGTTCTATGAAATGCTTTTCAAATCAAAGGAATTTTCTATTTACAAGTTACCTGATGTATATATTAAATGAAAAGTTACAGACTTTGTATATTTACAGTGTTTGAATATTATTGTAGTACTGTGTACAGTTACTATTTCTATAGTAATTAGCAACCTATGGAGGCTGCTACGGGGTTTACTCTGTTTTTGGGGAGATCTGCAATTCATTGCTATTAAAACCTGTCCAAAATGTACTGGCAATTAAATACGTCTCCAAAACAGAGTGATATGCAAAAAGAAAAACAAAGGTCATACCAGCTTTAGAGCCCTAAAATGTAATTGGTTCCAAATAATTTTTTTTTCCAGGACATGCTTATGTCAGTGAATGCTAAAATATAGCATAGATCAAAATCTACTTCAATTATGAAACTTACACTTGTACATTTCATTTCAAGATTTATGGCTACTATTAAAACAAAATAAAGTGTTTGCACAATAAAAGTGACATAAATGCTTAAAAAGTTCTGACTGTTTAAATTAGATGCAATGATTTTTTCTTCATTCAAAGCAGTTCCAAGATATCCAATATTTTCACTGGCACTGAGACAGACTTTTGCTAAATATTAGAGGGGAAAAAAGAAAAACAAAGTTTCTAGTTAAGTGTTTGTGACAACTAGTTGGCTTTCATTTCTTTTGTAATTAAGTTTCATCCTGGTACTGCAAAGTGTGAAGTTGCATGTAGGTGCAGTAGTCCATTCCTGTGCTATAGGCGGCAGGAACTGGTGTCTGTGTTTTGTTGATTCAGTACAGTACAAACAATTCCTCTTGAGAACTTACCTGAATACATCTCAGCCAGATAAAAAACGTAATTATTTCCATCTACAATTTACAAATTATTTTTATACACAAATTTATGTGTGTACCATTATATACGAGAAACAAAAAAACTTGATATTAAATAATTACTTTTTAAGACTCAAAGAAAAGTGTGCCATTTATTTTAACAGCATTTCCCCCCAAGAAGTTAGAGCTCCTAAAAACTTTATATTTAGCATAAGATTGAACTTCTTAAGAGTTTTACTATATTCTACTGGTAATTTCAGCAACAGATGTAGCATCTGTCAGCATGGACTGGAAGCTTCACATATGCAGATGGTATAGTATCTTCAAAAAGTTATAAAATAGTTTGGAAATATTTGCCAATTCCTAAGTCTAAAATCAAGAAGCAATTAAGTAACTTTATCCCTGACAAAGAAGTTGAGTTTTCCTGCTAATTGGAGTTAACTGAAGATTAATGCTAAATCTAAATGCTGAATAAAAAAGAAATACTAAAGCATTTCTAGTATGATTACTACTGTATGTTCAGTGTGAAGGTCAGAGAAAATAGGTGATGGAAAGTCAAACCTAGAAAGCAAATTGGTAGTTTACAAAGTTTACCTCAATGCTGCTGAAAGTAGTTCTTAGTTTTAGTAAAAAGTATTTAGTTTGTTAAAAAAATGCATGGAATTTGCCAGTCCTTCTTTGCTTATTTCTTCACATGCATATACATCTAGCCATTGCAATGTGACTAGGTCTTTTAGAATTGATAATTACACACCCAATTTCTAGGATGATAAACTAAAATTTTTACACTACAAATAGTCTTCTAATCTAGATTGTTCTTCTACATAACCAGATCTAAAACCTAATTTGATAAGAATTATAATATATTGTGTAACATTTTATTTTAATCATTATTAGACATTGACATACAGCACTGATGCATGATGCATCTGAAAAACGTTATCTTTGTGGGAAGGGATAATACTTCTTTTAAACCACATACCTGAATATGATTCAATTAAAATAAAAAGGCATTTTGAAAGGCTTTACTTTTAAGTAATTAAACAGCTATTTCCATACCTAATTTTTTTGACAATATAGCATATTATAACTACATATTATTACTACTTAGAAGATTGTATTGCACATTACAACCCTAACTACATTTGCAAACCTTTAAGCAAACTCAAACTAAATCACCCTCTTATGCAAAGTTATTAACTACCAAGAATTTATTAAAAGAAACAAAAACCTGAAGTTCTGACTTATTAACCTCAATATTTAGTAATGCCTATGAAAAAGAAATAACATTTATTTTTAAATGATTTTAATCAGCTGTGTGTTAAGGCCTATGAAAAAAACAGCAGCTCATACAAGGTCATTAACAAATCAAGGTATTAGAAGTTATTAAACTCTGGTACTGACAAAGCAACACCATCCCAAAAGCAGTATTATAGTTATCCAACCCAAGCTAAAGTTACAGTATTAGAAGATACTATGTCCCTAGCTCAAAAAAGTAGGCACAGGGCTGGTTTCTCTTTTGTGGCAGTTAGCTGGGATAGGGCAAGCAACAGGGACCAGTATCTGAGTACTGTAATACATAATAACAGTGAAAGGAACTGATCAGAAATCTGAATCCATTTTGCTCAGTGTGTTCTAAAAGTCTACACTTCTAGAAAAAAATTAAACACCTTTTGACAAAGCAGCATTCATAAGATGTGAATGTAGTTATATAAATTACATATACATTTATATACCATGTATGCTATGTATAAAATGTATATACAATTTTTGTGTAAATTTATAATGTGTGAAAGTAATATTCTATTTAAAATATATAAAAAAATATATTTTATACATCTGGTACTTAGCTCAACTAGTAAAAGTACACTTCCCCAAATTCTGTGGAGAAAGCCAGTTTTCATCATTTTTTTCTCTATTTATCTGTTGCCAGTATGGCAAGGAACACTTTTTGTTTGTTTGTGGGAAAGACTATTCATTAATGCATGAGCATAGTTTGAACTGGTTGAATTCCACATATCATATTATCTCATGCCCCCATATATAATATACTCCTCAGTTTTGAGTGGCAGGATGAAGAAAAACAAGTATTGCTACAGTAACTGGAATTCCTGCAGCAGTTAGGAAGCTGAATCTGCTTCTGAGCTTAATGCAAGCCTCGTGTGCTGGATGGAGAATGTGGATCAAACCAGTGGAGTCCCAATGCCATGTGCTGGGGCTGATACCGAGACTAAATGCCAACCCAGCTTAGTTCAACCCATAGGCTAGGGTCTGGTGCAGGGTCTGATCCTGCAAGCTGGGACCAGGGTTGCATACCAGGTTCTGCCCAACTCACTGGTTCTGGCCACAAACTGACCCTGTCAGCTGGCCCAACCAGACATAAGGTACTATGTCACCTATCCGAGGGGCTCCCCATGGGTCTGGAAATTTGGCTTCAAGGGAGTGACTCCCAGAACCATAGCAATTAACATTGTCATCGCTCCCCTGATGCCAAATTTCCAGACCCATGGAAATCCAGTTTTCTTGCCTGTAATGTGTACCCCAATTTTCACCAGTTGGTTTTGATAAAAAGTGTGAATTATACATTAAAAAATATGGTACTAGTCGTTCTCCCTTTAGATACGTGTGCACTTTTCCCATGTTATGCTCCACTTCTTTATCTAGCCCAAAATATGACATCCCCCCAAGGTAATTTCAACAGTCACTTTTAATAAACCCAAAGGGAGTACCTGTCTAACAAACCGCTGGCAACTGCTAGCAGTTAAGGGATTTACTCTGAGTTTTGCCTGGTTCCCACTGGCCTGGAGACTCAGACTCTTAACTCTGGTCCTGAAACCTCGTTCTTTCCCCCACCTCATGCCACGTGGAAGCTAAACATGTTGCCAGTTTCCATAGGATGGGCCCAGTAACTGCTTTGTTTTTCCACAAGCAAGAAGGTAAGCATTTTCCCTGAATTATCTCAGGGATGTTGGCTATTTTCCACTGCAATATGTGATAATACCAAGCCAGCAAAAATAAAAGTATATGAATTGCAATCTTTTCCAGACTGATTTTTAAACTTGTAGACTGAGGAAACTGAATATATATTAAAAAAATGTCAAGAGTTGGTGTTAACTCACTTCTATGTGACCTCTACTTTACTCTAGCTTCCTCATATTAGTGTTCTGACTGGCATCTACTCATAGTTTATAGAAGAATTCTTGGGATGCTCCCATCATTCAAAGTCACCTATACTTTTCCAGCAAGTGTCCCCCTTGATTTTTAAGGCTGCAAGGCAGATTGACCCAGTTTGGGTCAGAGGTGGACAGGTGGGTACTAAAGATCAAGCTGCTGCCACTGCTCTTCCCCTTGGTAGCAAAGGGAGAGTGCCAGTCACTGGAGCTTTTCCCCTGAAGCCCCATGTTTGCAGGCTGCATCCAGCCATGGGTCATATGTTGCCAACCCCTGACCTAATGGGTTGGGAAATGTGCAGCATGGTTATCTCTGAGCTATGAGAGAAGCCCAAGGAGCTGACAGAGGCTCAAGCACACACAGTGAGATTTTAGCTAGTAAAGATTTGCTAGAGTTTAACAAGTGTGTGCATAAATTGCCATTTTTCATACGCTTTTTCATATGCTTGGCCATATTTAACAACTTGTCACAGGAACAACAAAAGACCCATTCCTGCCACAAAGGCAGAACTCCACTGAATTTCAAGTCTCAGCTCTAAATCAAGAAACCAATGCTGGAAAATATCAAAGAAATGATCTCAAGATGCTTTTAAAAAAACGACAAAATACATTTTCCTCTAGTCTCATTAGGCATGTGCTCCAGGGTGGGGGGTGGAGCATTTTAATTAGAGTGGCTCTTGGGAGCTTTAATTAAAATGTCCGTAGCGTTTTGGGTATTCAGCACCCCATGTTTCAAAATGGTGGCGGAGGTGCCTTAACTAAAGCTCATTCAATGAGTTTTAGTTAAAGGACCCCACCACCATTTTGAAACACAGGGATGCTCCAACAGACTCAATTATCATGTCTGCTCCAACGCCTTCTAATCAGAACACGTCAGAACATATGTACAGGTGCCCTTAATCAGAAACACTTAAGCTGGTTTCTGGACCTCTTCCAAACAAATTCAATGTGAAACATGGAAAATATCAGCCCACAAAGTCTGGTACACTTATAAACAATTGAAAACAAGGTATTATACAGGAAAGTGATGAGGAACCTTTAACTGCTAGTTAAGCTATTAGGGCTCCTTCCTTCCACCCTCTTAAATGACTACTAAGACTAAAAGCATAGAGAGAGTCTGCTGTTGAATTGTGTGCTCTCCTGGGTAATCTAGAAGCAAAAATGCAAAATGAAGGTCTGTGAAAATGCAAATGTGTGGCAGTGACTGAAAGCTTGCAAAGAACAATTTTTCCAACTATTTAGTTGGTCTAATAAAAGATATCACATCTACCCACAGAAGCTCGTCTGCCTATGTCCTTAGATCAACATGGCTACAACCAACAACCCTATTAAGACTAAAAGATTTTTAACCTATAGAAACTAAAATATTATGCAAGAAAATGGCAGGTAAACACGCACTCAACATAATTTTAACAATTATTAGTTTCTAAATCAAAATGCAGGGAACTAGAATGAACTGTCACTATATTAACATATAACGGAAGTAATATATTACAGATTCACCCTCCCCCCCAATAGATATACTCACAGGATTTGACTTCATCTCCATAAGGTTATCCAGGATACGAGTGACTGGTAGGTTCTGGGGAAGAAAATTTGAAGTTAGTTAGCTGCAGAAGTTTTTTAAAGAAATAATATGCAGAATGGCTCCAGTAGCCCAACTGTATTCAACTGACTGTTCAATTTTGTAGTTTATTTAAAAAAAACAGCCTTATGATGAGTTACTTTTCATATAATGCTCTGCAGACAAGACACCTCCCTCCCCATGTGTGTTTCTTCTGTACAGAAATGTTAATAGGTCAAAAATTTTAAACTAAACTTGTAATACCTGTGTTTTTAAAGGAGCATATGAAATTACTTTCCAAGAATAAGTATGCATTCACAATATAAAATGCTTATCTTAGAATAAAGCAAAACAATAAAAAATGCAAACCCAAAGCAAAGTCTGTTAAAAAAATAAACTTTTTCCTTTCTAGCAGGCTACATAGTGATGCCCTATCTCCTTTTCCTTGTTCCAGGAGCTTAGGGTGCTGGGAAAAGGTGGAGTGGCAGACCTCATTATGCCTGAGGAATTTTCATCTGTCATTTTAGAACAAATTTAAGCTTTGTTGTTCTAGCAGGATATGGCAGGGAGGGCCAACACCTTCTGTTAATTAAGTGTACCATCAGGTTTATGAATTATATTTATTTGTTAATATTAAGCTCTGTTTATATAAAGAACATCTGTGGAGAATGCATGATTAAAGAAGTTCCATATGACTTTGTAACACTAGCCAAAGATATAACAACCAACAAAAGGCAATGCAGATACAAGAGATGTTCAAAAGTTTTATGTAATGTGTGCTGCTGTTGAGCTTCTCTTGTAAGCCAGACTAGTTCGATTTCAGGAAATGAGTTCAGCCAACTGGAGGATCTGATATCCAAATATATTTACAAAGCTCTTTTCTAATGGCCAACACAAATATAAGACCAGACCAGGAAACTACTCAACTGAGCAACTTTAACTCTACTCATCTGGGATGACTGAAGAAAGGATTCAACTTGATGCACTACAAAATAATATCCCTCAGCTATCTTGACAGAGAACTACTTATACCCACTAGTCCTAGTTCTGGTTCTACTTCAATAACCCAACCCTGCAATAATCCCATGATAGTCTCATAAAAAAGTTAAAGAAATACAACCTGGATGAAACTACTGGGTGCGTAACTGGTTGGAAAATTGTACTTCAAGAGTAGTCATCAATGGTTTGACATCTAACTCAGAAAAAGTAGCAAGTGGGATCCTCAGAAGCTTGTCCCTAGGCCAGCACTGTTCAGCAACTTAACGATTTGCAGGAGAGAACTAAGCACACAAAACTAGTAAACTAACAGATGACACAGAGCAGTATGGTACAGGATACACTTTGGAGAACAGGGTTAGATTTTAAAATAACCATGATAATTTGGAAAAATGATTTGAAATAAATCTGATGAAATACAACAAGGACAAGCGCCAAGTACTGCACTTTGGGTGGAACAATTAAAAGCTCCATTACAAAATAAGAATACAGATGAGAACCTGAAGGATACTGTAGACCACAAGCTGAACAAGTCAACAGTGTCATATTGTTGAGAAAAGCTAAATATCACACTGAGATGCATTACCAGGCCTTCTGTAGGCAAACTACTGAAAATGATTCCTGCACTCTATTCAGTCCTGGTAAAAGCTCACTTGGAGTAGTGTGCCAAGTTTTGGGAACTACTCTTCAAGGAAGACATGAACAAATTGGAGAGAGTCCAGAGGAGAGCAACAAAGTGATCAGAAGTCTAGAAAACATGACATACAAGGAAAGTTAGGATTGGGGTTATTTAGTCTGGAGAAGCAAATCAAGAGGGGGAATATGATAAGAGTCATAACAATGACAGTCTTACATTAACAATGTAAGAAGGATTGTTAAAAAAAGGGTGGCTATCAAGAATTATCTGTGTCCATGGGTGAAAGGAAAAGCAGTAATGGGATTAAATTACTCAAGGGAAATGTTTGCTGGATATTTAGAAGAAGTTTCTAAAAATTCTTGTGGAACAAATTAATTGGATAGTGTGAATTCTCTACCACTGGAAACCTTTAAGTGCAAGTCAGAAAAACATTTGGCTGGGATGGCTGAGCCAGACATGAGAAGGGGTTTAGACCACATGATAATCAAGAAACATTAGTTAAGCATTCCCTATCGGTCCTATTTTTTAGTGGTTCTATTAATTACTAATATTTTTATCCAGCTTATTTACAAAATGAATCTGTGGAACACTTTCCAATTTCAAGGTAACTTAATTAATGCTTCATTTCCTCTATAGTATTACAGGCATACCTCGGAGATATTGCGGGTTCGGTTCCAGACCACCGCAATAAAGCGAATATCGCAATAAAGAGAGTCACACGAATTTTTTGGTTTCCCAGTGCATATAAAAGTTATGTTTACACTATACTGTAGTCTATTAAGTGTGCAATAGCATTATGTCTAAAAAAACAATGTACATACCTTAATTAAAAAATACTTTATTGCTAAAAAATGCTAACCATCATCTGAGCCTTCAGCGAGTCATAATCTTTTTGCTGGTAGAGGGTCTTGCCTCAATGTTGATGGCTGCTGACTGATCAGGGTGGTGGTTGCTAAAAGTTGGGGTGGCTGTGGCAATTTCTTAAAGACAACAACGAAGTTTGCCTCATCGACTGACTCTTCCTTTCATGAAAGATTTCTCTGTAGCATGCAATGCTGTTTGATAGCATTTTACCCACTGTAGAACTTCTTTCAAAATTGGAGTCAATCCTCTCAAACCCTGCTGCTGCTTCATCAATTAAGTTTATATAATATTCTAAATCCTTTGTTGTCATTTCAACAATGTTCACAGCACCTTCAATTTGTAAAAAACGCAATACTGCGAAGCGCAATAAAGCAAAGCGCAATAAAACGAGGTATGCCTGTATATATAAAGCCTTCAGAAAAAGACAAAAACTTTATTTTCTTAATGACAGTACATTGTATCTGCAGTAGGAAGGCTCTGACCAAAATTCCCATAGCAGTAAAGTGCAAATGAAGATACAACTTCAGTGAAGTCAATTCTTCTTATTTTTTATATACAACATGTCTTATATTCACCATTTAGCTGTACCCAGTTAGTCTTTTATATTTCTATATTTTCCACAACAGGATGGTGATATTCACATGTGTAGAACCAGGGGACCTATGTCTTTTGCATTTTGTTCATGACATCAAGACATATCAAACACACCGGAGAGGAGAATGAGAGGACCAGGATTTTAGGAACAAGTAGGAGCCAGAAATGAGACGAGAGGTTTTTTTTCCTCCTTTCAACTAAGTGGCATTCATTAGTAGGATGCTGGAGCCGCAAACCCTCCCACTATAATTTTACCATGACCCATGATTACAGGATGGCTGGACATTTTTTTTTAAGCCATGGATCAAAAGAGTTGGAGGACTACTTATCTGAAAACATGAAAAAGGAGTTTACAGTTTTAAGATGGAGAAGTGTGGGGATACCAGATGCTTGTGCACCATCTGATAAGTAATTGATAAGCCACACTTAAATTGTTGGAATTCAATTCTTTGTTCCACCATAGATTTTGATGCAAGCTTGGACAAGTCACTTAGCTTATCTCTGTGTTAACGAGTCATCTGTAAAAAGAAGATAACAGAACTTCTCTCCTCCTCAAAAATCAAAGGTCTGTTACGAAAACAACAAAGATTACAAAGTACGCATGATGCAAATGTTAGGCGTTGATCTAAAGCAAAATAAAAGAAATATCTAAATTGAGACTGAAGATCTGAGGAAAGCTATTTGGCACAACTGCTACAAAAATATTTGATTTTTATTTACCAAATGGAAAAGCTTTACATGACTTACTGCCCCTCAACTGTGAAGCATTTTTGGGGATAAAAAATCTGAAGTTGTTAGAACAGGAGTCTGAGTGAAAGAATCTGGGTTCTCTTCCCAATATTTGTTAGTACCATACTAATCTTTGTGTTCATCTATTATTTACATGATGATCTGGGATGATGTACTCATTTTCTTAATTTTTTTTAATTATCGAAATAGCTACATAAAATGTTGAAGTAAAAACTGAGGGAAATATAAAACCAGTACCAGAAATTTATCATCTGCTAATAATCAGTTCCCTGATATTTAAATGGAAAGCATGCTTCCTTCTCAACCTCCTTAGTGGGGTGACGATATGCAATATTGCCATTAGATAGAAGGCTACTGTTAGTGACTACAAAGCTATCATTGTTTTCTGGGTCTTCAGAGACTTTGGTTTTAAATATAGTATCTGAGCTAAACAGAAGAAACAAACACTCATTAAATCAAAACAGAAAATATCCTAATTATACTAATGCAGTTTGAATACAACTAACTACTTTGAAAAAGCAATATAATCTGAAGGTGCAAGCAAAGAAAGTTTAAACTTACTAATACAATGTAATATGCTTTAAAAGTACATTTCTATAAAAATGATGATTAACATTTGCCTTTCTGATTTCAGAGGTGACAAGAGGTTATATTTCTTCTTATTTACTATTTTCTCTTCTAAGAAACATTTAAAAAAAAGCTTGAGAACCAGCTTAACTCTCCTTTAATATTCACCTTAATATTAAGCAACTTTATACTGAGGATTGTTATTTTACTTGAAAGTTATTTAATCAGCACCCAAGTTTTTAACAATATAGTCATAAAAAGATTCTTGCTTAAGCAAGTAGCCTGTCTACAAAATTAGGTGCACTGTAACTGTCAGCAGGAGAAATGGATTTAGTCATGTTTACATTTAATTTCTCCTGCTGTGCTTGAAGAGCTTGAGAGAGATTTTCTGTTTATGCTTGTTTCTCACCACTGAGTAGGTTTAAGTTTTGTTACCATCTAGGTGGACAGGCCCCACAGCCCTATCTTGAGTAGCATAAATGGAATTTGTTACTATTATAAAAATTTATATTATGGCAGTATCTAGAAACCCAAGTGAAGAAGCAATCTAAAGGTGGCAAATAACTGTCAGGACATAAAGGCAGTATATCTTATATCTGTATGTACAGCATCTAGGGAATAAATACATGCCCATGTTTTCTGATCTAGCACATACAACATTTACATAGGTGTAAAAGAAAAGAGTGGACTTGCAATAAAGGGCCCAACATAAGTGCAAGTTACTCAATTCTGTTTCAGAATTACTCCAGGAAAAAAAATATCAGAGAACATTAACCCGTGTAATTTATACCAGTGTAGGCATCATTTGCCTACAGTTTAACTTGAGGTAGCCGTTTTCTCTCCTGGTCACCCACTGGCAAGGCACAATACCCCAGACAGTTGCTCATCTGTCTACTTTGGATTATGGTGTAATTTATATTGACAAAAAAGGCCTCTAACACATTATTTTTGGAGTGCTGCTAAAAATAGACTGCTAGAGGAGGTGCACATGTGCACAGCCCCCTGGCTACAGTACGACCAATTCACTGAAAAAGTATCCTCTCCAGCTAGGGGGTGGTAAAGACATGGTTCTTTAGCTCCACTGACTCCCCAGGAGAACCTCTCAGTGGGTGGGATGTGCTCTACCTATGAGCTGTTGCCTCTGTGGTAACAGCTGACGGGCCTGCCCACAAGCCACCTAGAGTGGCAAGTGGCAATTTGGTGGTCTCCCTTACCCATTTAACCCTTGCCACTGCTGCAGACCAGTAAGCCATTACCATCATAGCAATGGCTGGCAGGTCAGCCTGCAAGCCATGTATGGTGGTAAAAGTTGATTGAGTGGTGGCTTTGTCAATGTTGCTTGCCAAAACCCTGACTTTTCCCAGGGCTCTGGTAGTGGTAGCAGTTGTTCTCAGGGCACTGCTGTTGGCGTGAGAACATTGGTGGGACCCTGTGCTCCGGTGTGGCGACAGCGGTAGGGTCCTCGCACGGCACACTGACAGCTCATTGGCTGGGCAGATTATGAAGGAGTCAGTCTCTCTTCCTCCTTCCTTCCCTCCCTCCTTGTTTGGAGGGGCAGAAGAAGAGAAGAGCAGAGAGATACTGGGGGTCAGAGAGACCTGCACACACATTAAATGTGTTCTGAAAAGTTTTGTGCAACAAAACAGTTGTTGTTTATCAGCAACTTTTTAATGGCAGATACAATTTCTTTAGCTGAACAAATATCATGAACATGGGAATGTTCACTTTCTGTTGCATTAAAACAGCTTACATAGTGTGAAAAATGTACCGCATATCAAAGTTTATGTAAATGTATATCCAGGTCCTCAACTTTTTTAGTTTTGAAATTAAATATCAACTTTCATCAAAATCCCTGGTCTTCACCGTTACATGTTGGCTGATTTCTTATATGTTATATTTTCAAAGTGATGGACAAAGATGATCTTAGCAGAAGCTCTATATGAAGTGGAGAGCAACACATATTGTAGGGAAGATGAAGTTGTGTTAATCAATATGGTAGTTCCTTGGATTTACATGTTATCATTAACTAAAAGAATTCCTGGGAGTGCCACTTCAGTCCTTTACCACAACTACAAGAACAATAACTGAAACACCAAAAACACCCTATAACCTGCCACAGCTAAAAGATGGGGAGATTAGGGCACTGTCAATGTCTTGCCATTGCAACAACAGTGAAGCAGTTAGTTGATACGAGACAAAGGGCCTGGACAGGAATTTTAAAGGATTACATAAAAAAAAATTCAACTACTTTTGTTACAATAAGCTCATGGACAGTTTTATAAAGTGACTGACTGGATTTGTTTTACTGAAAGGATACATCAGAGAAGGAAAGTCCACAGGGAAAAGGTAAATACAAGAGAGGCTGAGCAAAAGGAGGAATACCTGAGTGAACCTATAAGTAAGATGAATGGACATTTATACAAACATCACAAAAATTGTAAAAAGTTTAAAATCCAGGAGATATTTTGGCCATGCCAAAAAATCTTAAATTGTTCAGTACTGGACACAGGAGTAAAAAGCAAGATAAAAAAAATCTTAAAAACTTGCATTTTTTAAAGTAAGTGGGCACCCCCCCATGACTGTATATGTGCATTTCCCTGGGGACAACTAGCAATGGCACCTATTTGGGGAATATGCCTGTGCATGCACGCTCTGGTATGCAGCAAATTGCCTTGGGTGGGGTAGGGAAGACTGAGGCCGGCACCTGGGTTCCTGGGGGTCTCCAGGGGCTCCAGCAGCAGCAATCCCAACATGTGGAGCCTGGCCAGCAGCTGGAGTGTGGCTCTGGCTGCTGCCACGTGTGCCACATTGTTTTTTTTCTCTAGGATTTTTTTAGCTATCAGGATTTCCTAGCAAACCAATTCACATGTGCTGCGTGTTTTGCAGTGCCTCAACAACTTCTGAGGCATTGCAAAGCACATGTTCCTGCTTATGGGCAGCCAATGAGTCTCCAAAAGAAAAAAGGCTAAGTTACTTATGTCATAAAATATTATTACGAGAAACTGCTTATCTACAATGTATCATCTCTCTACATATTAAACTCATTCCGCTTGTCACACTTCAAGACTGGCTGTTTTATTTTACACATGTGGAAAATGAGCAGTGTTTTAAATGTGAATGAACAAAAGTACTGTTTGACTTTCCACACTTTTGGCAGGGTTATTGTCAGTAATAAAATATGTTATAATCTAAGAAGAAAAGGAAACATGTTTACATATTTTCTGTGTAAATAAGATTTTAGTTTTCATTAAAAAAATTCTAAGTGGTCTCTTTAGGATACTGAACTTGGTTTTCAGAAGGGACTGGTAGATCCTAGATATTGTTCACTTATTTAGGAGCTTATCTCATTTAATCTGTGCTCTCAGATGGAGGACTATGAATACGACCCAAAACTAGAATGTTTCTCAATATTTAAAATGCAAAAAAATATAAAAATGCATTTATTTTGTATATCTATTGACTGTTACAGTGGCTAGCTATATTTATTGTTTGCTTTATCATTAGTACAGTGTATTTTATTAAAGTATCCAAAAACCTATGGCTATTCACTTCTGAAAAGTTCAACCAGAAGAGTCTAAAAATTTTGATTATTATTTTATTTTGTTAAACTTACTTGCTGCTTCAATACCAAGTTCTTTACTCCTTCCATTACAAACTGTGATCCAGTATTCATCACACGTGAAAACAGACTGTAAAACAAAATGATACAACACACAATGAACAAATTTCTCTGTCAACAAAGAGGAAAGAATGCTCACTGCACCAACTTCCTTCTTTTTTATTTTTAATCAACTCGAGGACTTTGAGAGTCTTTGCTTTGGAATTGTCACTTGTACCTAGATTTTTTTAAAGACCAATATCCATTATAAACAAGGTGTTCTGTGGTAAAACTGTGCCTCAAACAATAGCTAACTTAAGGTTTTACAAGCTTCAGTGAAATGTATACATCTATTCTGCAATTATTTGAAATCCAGAAGCTGTTTATTGAGAAAGAAAATTCATTTAAGAAAGCTGTTCTGTTTATTCTTTCAGGTTCCAGTAAATTCATAATGGAAGCTGATTACTTACATACAAAGAAAATAGAACAATTTATTTTAGAATTATGGTGAAGGCACCTACTAGTTTAACGCTAATATTTTGCTGCCAGTGAACACATTAGACTTAGCTGGTCATCCAAATAAAATTATGACAGCCTAAGGGTAAGCTGCTCTTCTACAAGGCAATACAGACACTTAAGCTAGGGACAGACATTTAAAAAGCCTGAGCTTGAATTGATTCAATCTTTGCACGTTAGTCTAACCTGGCTAGGCTGAACCAGTTTGCAGCCGGACAGACATCTCCTCTGGACTGAGGAAATTCAGTCATATGCCTGTAGTGGCTCAGGCCAAAAGCTGGGGGGCACTAGTGCAGCCCTCCCTTCCATAATACTGAGCTGAGGGGGTGTGGCCAGGCCGCAGCAGGAAGCTCTGATTAGGGAGGGGTTCTCCCCCCCACCCGATAACAGAGCATTTATCAGCTCCCTTATCACTATCAGCATTTAGCACCA